ATCGATTATCGAGGGTCGTTGATTGCGGACTGAAGTTTTGATCGTTTCTGGGCCTTGTTCGGCTCTGGCGGTTCAATCCTCTGCGGTGGCAAGTCTTTAAGACCATCTAGCGCATCTTATAGAAGACGCCTACGGCGAATCACCGCCGCCCCCTGCCTTCCAGAGTCGCTCATGTGGCCGAGCGTTGTAGCAAGAGCTCCGCCAAGCTATCGGACCATGTGTTCCCCCAAACGTTGTGGAAACCCTTCGGGGAACACTTGGGGGAGGATCGCGGGGAATATCAGGAGGAGGCGGAGGAGGTGGAGGAGGAGAAGGAGGACGAGGAGGAGGAGCAGGACGAGGACGAGGAGGAGGAACAGGGGGCATCTTGGGAGCCTCTGGGGGCACTCTTGGGGCCTCCTGGGAGCTTCCTGGGAGCCTCTTGGAGGCATCTTGGGGGCCTCCTTGGGCCTCTTGGGGGCCTTTGGGGGCTTCTCGGGGGCCTCTTTGGCCGTCTTGGTGGGCTCCTGGCCCGTCTGACGCCGTTGGAAGCCGTTTTGGGGGCCTCTCTGGGCCGACTTGGGGCCCTCTCGGGGTGCTCCAGGGCCGTCCGGGAGGCTTCCTTCGGCGTTTTAGAGGCCTCTTGGGCTGTCTTTGGGCCCTCTTGGGGGCCTCTTGGGCCGTTCTGAGGCCATCTTGGAGGCTTCTTGGGCGATCTTGGGGCGATCTTCGGGAGCTCTTGGGCCGTCTCGGGCCGTCTGAAGGCCGAAAAGGAGCAAATGCCAAACTCCTTCAACAACCTAAGGAGCATCAAAGATTTTGGCCCTTCGGGCCTTCCTGCTCCTGAAAGCACTGCTCGGCAGTATGCCGTGTGGCGATGGTTCGAGCGACGACGCCACCAATACCGTGACGTGTGCGCGTACTGCGCTGCACAGGCCGTACGACCAGTTCCGCCGACCCTGAGAAGCGTGTGCATGTAGGTATGTCTGCATGCGTGTATGTATGCATGCCAAATTTTATGCATGTATGCATGTACGCATGTTCGACAGCCGACGCAGCGCAGGTGTGGGTGCCAACCTCCCCCAGCCTCCAGGTGTGTCCCTCGACATCCGACGCACCGGCTCTTCCGCGACCCGGGCCCCAGCCCTCTGGGCTCCTTCTCCGGGGCCGTTCTATCGCCACAGGCCGCTCTGTGACGGCCCTTCGGCCAGGTGAGGCGAGCCGTGCTACATCCGCACGCACGTGAGCGCGCACGACGTGCACGCGCGGTGCGCACACCCGTGCAGTCATGTGTAAGTGTGTACGTGTAAGAACTTGCGGTCCACCAACTGTGCCTACAGTAAGACAATGATCCGACTGGCGGCGCAGCCGGCGGTGGCTTGCATGCCTGGACCTGTGATGTTTTGTTTTCCCCAAACAGGCTTGCCTAAGGGCTTCTTGTTTGTTTTCGAGTCGCCGATACGTTCGAGGGTGCGAGGCCTGCGCCTGCTGGTATTCCCCAGGGTTCCCTGGTCTTGTTTCTTTGCAGTGGCGTTGTCCTGCCTTGTTCCTTTGCAGTGGCGTTCCTCGGGTTACCCAGTTCTTGTTTCTTTACGCTGGCGTTCCTCGGGGTGCATTGGCCTTGCTTCTTTTGCAGTAGTATCTCTCGGGGCAGCTCTCGGTGTTTCTTTGCAATGCCAAGCAATGCCAAGGAATTCCAAGGAATGCCAAGTCATGCCAAGTCATGCCAAGGAATGCCAAGGAATGCCAGCAATGCCAAGCAACGCCAAACAACGCCAAGCAATGCAAAGTAATGCAAAGCAATGCGGTGCGATGCCAAGCAGAGCAATGACGTGCCATTCCAAGCAATGCCAAGCAGTGCCGCCCAGGAGGCGTTCCCCTGACCGGGGTCGCGCCGAGTTCATTTTCAAATGCGTGGTCCCGGACCTTGGGACCACTTCCGGGGCACGCTTTGGCCATGGTTTCTCGGCGGTCCGCGGGGAGGAGGAGGAGGAGGAGGAGGAGGAGGAGGAGGAGGAGGAGGAGGAGGAGGCCCCTGGGGCCCCCGCAACGGCCCCCCGGGGTCGACACCGGAGCAGAATGCCGCCGCCGTGAGCCTCCCAGGACGCCATGGGGTCTCGGCGCGCTGCGCGCGGTCGCGGACGGCCGGAGGCGCCCACGGCGGGGGTGGCGCGAGGGCGATGGGCTCCTGAGAGTTTGCCGGGGGGGGCGGGCGTGCTCGGAAGGCAGGGCCCTCTTCTTATCAAGGGCGCCCTCGAGGGCGCGAAGTTATTCGCGCTTCGCGCTTCGCGCTTCGGCTCCGATTCCTCCTCATCCTCCTCTTCTCCCCTGGGAGGCGGCGCGAGAGCGCGAAGTTATTCGCACTTCGCGCTTCGCGCAGCGCGAAGCGCGAAGTTGGGAGCCCTTGCTTCTTTGGTCGACCCACATGGGGGTCCAGCGAGAAGAGGGTGCTGCAATAGCTTTGGTGCAATGGATCTGTGGAGCTGCAACAGATTTGGGGCGTGCACTGCGCTCTGAGGCGCAAGCGTATTGCTGGATTTTGGCATGCAATGCATTCGTTGCAATCCAATGCGATAAAATTCTCCAGCGCAATACATTTGCAATACAATTGCCCTAAATGTATTGCACCACCCCCTTTCAGCTGGACGCACCTTTTGGTCACCCAGATCTTTGCACGGGGCTAGGACGAGGGTAAGTCCGTTCCAGAGCGTTCTGGAAGGCTTCAGAGCGTTCAGGAACGCTCCGAGAAGGCCGCGGCGACCCAGACATCCTCCAGAGCTGCAAGGTCTCAGAGCTTCTCGATTTATCCCCACCCGGTTTTATCCTCGCCCTGGCCTCGTCTTGCCTCGCAGACGGGCCTGACGGCCTCCGAGAGGGCGTCCCCAGAAGCCAGGAGGGCTCCCGAGAAGCCGCCTTCCTCCTCCGAAGGCCTCCCGCCTTCTCTCTTAGCAGGCCCTCTCGCGTCACCCCCACGCGGGCGCCGCCACGGACCCAGACTTCCGGTTGCTTCAATTTCTTCGATGGGTGGGTCTTGGAGGTCCAGACCATTTCCCTAATCATGGCCGGTTTTTCGTCCCTCGTTTGACGGCCCCAGGCCCTTCGAGGGCCCCCAGAGGCCCAAAAAACCGACCGCTCCAATTTTTTCGGAGCGTCGGATCTCTGGGTCGACTACACGTAAGAGTGACCTTTCGCCAGAGTGACCTTCAATGCGGGCCCAAGGGGTCCCCCGCTCGCCGAACGCGAAGCGGTAGCAGCGGCTTCCGCGCCCCGATTGGGCCTCCCCGCGCCCCCCGTGAATCAGGAGGGGGAAAAACACAGACACAATTCATCGTCGATCCCCAGGAAAATATGGGAAGTGGGGGGTGGAAGACGAAAACCCAGAAAATATGTTTTTTTTTGTTGTTGTGAATCTTTGGATTTTTGTGTATTTATTTGTGTGTCCCTGGGCCCCTTCACAAAGGCCACTCTTGCCCAAGGCCACTCTTGCGTGTAGCTGACTGCGGACGCCCATCGCATGAGCGCCAGCACAGCTCCCCCGCTCGGAGCGTGCGAGCTGGGCGTTTTCGCTCAATGTCGGGCCCCAGGACCCTCACCGATCAATCGGGCTTGAAGAATGACGCAGAAAAATGGGGTTCAGGGGCCTGGTCGTGATTTTTTGCGATGTTGCATTTTTTGGTGCAACGTCGGATCTCAGGGAGCATCCTCTCGCTGTCAAGACGTCACGGTAGAGGGTTTCTGCTCATTTTCCGGCTCCCGGGTTCCAGGGGCGCTCACCAGTCGGCGGCGAGGAATGGGGGGGAAGTGAGGAGGAGAAGGCCTTCTCAGAAGGCGGCGGGGCTTCTCAGAAACGTTCTGGCCTTCTGAGATATTTTCTGTGTCTTCGGGGAAGGCTTAGAACCATTTTCAGAATGCCAGGGGTCTTCCAAGCCTTCTGAGAAGGCCCGCCCCCTCTCACTCCCACCCTAGGCTCGCCGCCAAGCCAGGCCCCGGGACCGTCAACAAGACGACATCGGGATGAAGCACTGGTCCATGGGAAGTGGTCAGGACCTCTGGGGAGCCACGCCGTGACGAAGAGATCACCACTGACCCAGATATCCGCTTGTTCCGCCCTTTTCGAGGCAAGGGCCCCAGAGGTCTGGACCACTGCCCGGCCCCGAGGCCCAGCGAGAGCCCCCAGAGGCCGAAAGTGGCCTCGAAAACGGGCCGCTCCAATTTTTTCCGGAGCGTCGGATCTTTGGTGAGGACCTCTTGGCCGGGAAGGTGGCCCCAGCTTCTCCAGGGAGGCCCAGGCGGCCTTACGTCGGGTGTGTCTCCCTACAGCAGGAATGTTCAAGAATAGTCAACAAGATAGTCTGGGGACGTTTTTTTGTTTTATCTGATTAGTTTTGAGTATTATTTGATTTTTATATAATATTATTTTCTTCCAAAGCGAGGACGTGCCCGACCTAACCCTGGCCTCGTGCCTCACTAGAAAGCGCGTTCCACTACTCGTAGAGCTGCTTGCAAATGGCCTGGATACGCCGCGGAGTTTTCTTTTACGATCCCTTGTGCCGAGGCAGACATGTTTTTTTTTTGCAGACGCCTCCTTCCTCCTCCTCGCCCCTGGAGCTCCCAAGCTCCACGCCGTTCCGCGTGGGCGTTTTGTTTCATTCCCAGTAGTTTTTAATGGTCCTGGAGGCTCTCTCTGGAGGCCAGGTGCGTGCGGCCGAGGCTTACCAGGCGGACTGGGCCGTGTGGACGAGAGCGGCCCAGGAACCGCCATAAGTTCGAGACCGTGCAGAATTCGATCCTCGATCCTCGATCTTCCTCCACCGCTTCGTTAGATGCTCGTTCTGGGGACCGTCTTGGAGCCCACCTAACGAATCACTCTCGTTCGACTCTAGCTCGACTCTGGCTCGTCTCAACTTAGGCTCGAGTTCGACTAAAGTTGGCGGACGTTCGACGCAGCATCGACCGACGCATGACTGGAGCGAGTGGCTCCAGGAAGGTTCCCAGCACGAGCATCTAATCCCCGCTGGCTCCCAGGATGACGAGCTCCCCGCCGTACGATTGCGACGCCGGGCTCGCCAACTGGGCGGCGGGCTGGTCCAGCGCCAAGAGGGCCTGGTGCTGCCAGGAGGAGCGGAAGGGCTGCGGCGACGCCACCACGTCGCCCCCCTACGACTGCGACGCGGGCCTGGCCAACTGGGAGGCGGGCTGGTCGGAGGCGCCGCCGCCTCGTTCGCTCCTCGCCCCGGCGCTCCAGGCTTTCAGGCGCCTCCGTCTGCTCTGGGCGGTCTTCCAGCCTCGGGATACGTTCCAGCAGCTGCGCCTTGCCGAGAGCGTTCCAGGGTTGCCCAGATCGTCCCGAACGGCCGCCAGAGGCCAGATTTATGTCGCCGTCGTCGTCGTCGTCGCCGTCGTGTTCGTCGTGTTCGTCGTGTTCGTCGTTATAGTTGTTATAGTTGTTATGGTCGTTCGTCGTTATCGTCGTCGCTGAATTCTCATTCCCAAGGAGTAATTATTGTTGCTCCCCCCTGCCCGGTTACTATTGTGTTTTTGAATTCAAGTACTCTTGCCGGGGCTCGCACTTTTTTCTCAAGGGAAAGTGAGGTGTCACTACACTGGGTTGTTGGCTCCTGGTTTGCAGCAGCGGCTCCCGCATGATGCTTCCTCACAATTCTTTACGCTTCGCGTATCCCCACCAGCCCATCTCTCAACAGCAACTCTTGCGAAGCATGCCGACAGTCGTGTTTTTCAGGCGTGTGTCCGCCTGCCCCCGCATATCTCCCCTGTTACTCCTTCCTCCCGCCTCCTGGTACATCCTCCTTGTGGGGGGAGCGGGAGAAGGACGAGGCGGAGGAGGAGGGAGAGAAAGCGCGGCTCGTGGTTTGAGTCGTTTGGGGTTTCTCGTCCTGGTGTGAGTCGTTCGGGCCCTTCTTCCTGGTGTGAGTCGTTCGGGCTCTTCGTGGTGTGAGTCGTTCGGGCTCTTCGTCCTGGTGTGAGTCGTTCGGGCTTCTCGTGGTGTGAGTTGTTCGGGCCCCTCGTCCTGGTGTGAGTCGTTCGGGCCCCTCCTCCTGGTGTGACTCGTTCGGGCTCCTCGTGGTGTGAGTCGTTCGGGGCCCTCGTCGTGGTGTGAGTCGTTGGGCTCCTCGTGGTGGCTTGTATGAGCGCTGCCCCTCCTCCTGGTGTGACTCGTTCGGGCTCCTCGTGGTGTGAGTCGTTCGAGGCCCGCGTCGTGGTGTGAGTCGTTCGGGCTCCTCGTGGTGTGAGTCGTTCGGGCGCCTCGTCCTGGTGTAAGTCGTTCGGGAACCTCCTTGTGTGAGTCGTTCGGGCTCTTCGTGGTGTGAGTCGTTCGGGCCCCTCGCCCTGGTGTGAGTCGTTCGGGCTCCTCGTGGGGCCTCTTGGGGGCCTCTTGGAGCCTCTTGGGGCCTCTTGGGGGCCTCTTGGGGGCCTCTTGGGGGCGTCTTGGGGGCCTCTTGGGGCCTCTTGGGGCCTCATGGGGGCCTCTTGGGGGCCTCTTGGGGGCCTCTTGGGGCCTCTTGGGGGCCTCTGGGGGGCCTCTTGGAGGCCTCTTGGGAGCCTCCTGGGGGCCTCTTGGGGCCATCTTGGGGCCTCTTGCGACCTCCTTTGAAGCACAAATGAGAGCTGCCCTCTGAGAAGGACAAAATGAGCCCAAAACCTTTGTAAAATCAATGATTTTGCTAAGAAGGAAGAGGAACGCGGCCCCCTCAGAAGGCCAAAATGGAGCCAACACCTTAGTAAAATCAATGTTTTTTGCTTCAACGACGAGCTGAGGCGCCAAACTGCCTCCCCCCCCGGGGCCAGAATCCTCGTGAGGGTCGTCGTTTTTTGGCCCTCCCAGGAGTCGAAAAAGGCTCCCCTGACGACGGTCGGGACTCCCTCTCCAGGTCCAGGGGGAGGGGGTAGGGGGAGGGGTAAACCCCTCCCCGAAGGGGAAGAAGTGGGGTTGAGGACAGAGCGGGCTCTCTAAAACCACTCACGCCCAAAGGGCTGGTGGGATTTATTCCCAAATCGCGCTCTGGCACGGGACGTCCTCACAATCTACACAGGAATCGCGCTCTCTCGTGGGACATCCTCGCAATCCCACCAGCCCTTTGGGCGTGAGTGGTTTAGAGAGCCCGCTCTGTCCTCAACCCCCCTTCTTCCCCTTCGGGGAGGGGTTTACCCCTCCCCCTACCCCCTCCCCCTGGACCTGGAGAGGGAGTCCCGACCGTCGTCAGGGGAGTCTTTTTCGACGCCTGGGAGGGCCAAAAAACGACGACCCTCACGAGGATTCTGGCCCCGAGGGGGGGGGAGGCAGTTTGGCGCCTCAGCTCGTCGTTGAAGCAAAAAACATTGATTTTACTAAGGTTTTGGCTCCATTTTATTTTGGCCTTCTGAGGGGGCCGCGTTCCTCTTCCTTCTTAGCAAAATCATTGATTTTACGAAGGTTTTGGGCTCATTTTGTCCTTCTCAGGGGTCAGCGCTTATTTGCGCTTCTGAGGAGGTCGCAAGAGGCCCCAAGATAGCCCCAAGAGGCCCCCAGGAGTCTCCCAAGAGGCCTCCAGGAGGCCCCCAAGAGGCCCCCAAGAGGCCCCAAGAGGTCCCCAAGAGGCTCCCAAGAGGCCCCCAAGAGGCCCCAAGAGGCTCCAAGAGGCCCCCAAGACGCCCCCAAGAGGCCCCCAAGAGGCCCCCCAAACGCCCCAAGAGCTCCAAGAGGCCCCCAACAGGCCCAACGAGGAGCCCGAACGACTCACACCAGGACGAGAGACCCCAACGACTCACACCACGAGGAGCCCGAACGAGTCACACCACAAGGAAGGACCCGAACGACTCACACCAAGACGAGGCGCCCGAACGACTCACACCACGAGGAGCCCGAACGACTCACACCAGGATGAAGGGCCCCAACGACTCACACCAGGACGAGAGGCCCGGAGATATGCGGGGGCAGGCGGAAACACGCCTGAAAAACACGACTGTCAGCATGCTTCGCAAGAGTTGCTGTTTTGAGATGGGCTTGTGGGGATACGCGAAGCGTGAATAATTTATTCAGACGCTGTGCCCCCGACGCTCAGGAATCAAGCTCTCGTTGTGGATTTCCTCACCATTTATTTGGGAATCGCGCTATCGCTCGAGACCTTCTTGCGATCATGCATGATGCACGCTCACCCCCCAAAAAGGGTGCGATCGAAGACGAAGAGAGCGGGTATTGAGGGTTTTGAAAATACATCCGCCTTGACGGACACTCGAGCAGATAAGAGCGAATAGTCTTAAAATGGACTTGTATTTTTCCGATTCCCCTTCTGGGGCTCGCACCCTGTTTTTTAATACGGAAAGTCTTGAGGGTCAAACTGTGTCGTTGGCCTCCGGGCAGGGCCGGGCGCTGCACATCATGAACTGCTACGGCTACGCAGGAGGCCGGCAGGACATCGACCGGAACGCCGACCTGATCTCGCAGGGGGTGGGATGGCATCGTAGCCTCGGCGACGCCCCCGCCCTGCTCGTCGGCGACCTGAATTGCCGCCTTGCTGACATAGGGCTGGACGGGCTGCTGGCCATGGCGGGCTGGCGCGATCTGCTCGGAGCCGCCGGGCCCACCTGCATCCCCTCGCAGGGCGAGCCGTCGCGCATCGACTACGCACTCGCCAACGAGTCCGCCGCGGGGATGGTCACCCAGGTCGGCCTCCGTTGGGGCCTCGGCCTGGCGATGCACGCTGCGCTGCTGGTGACTATCCAGGTTGGGCGGCCAGAGCTGGCCCTCCTGCGTCAGCCGGTCGCCAAGCTGGACGGGCCGGCACGCGCCGCCTGGTCGGCAGCCACGGCGCGAGACGTTACGACAGCAGTTCGTTGCTGCCTTGAGGAGCCCTTTCGGCGGGCCCTGCGTGGCCACGACTTGGATGCGGCTTGGGCGCACCTTGGCTACACCGTTGGGCGCTGCGGCTGTCCCTGCCCGTCCGCATGCCGCTGCCGCATTGATGGCTGAGCGACCCCCGACAACCGGCGGCGACGGGGAGGCGGCTGACGCTGCTGCGGACGCAGCCCTGCTGAGGCTCCGCCCGCTGCGGTCGCTCCAGCATGCGCTCCGGCGCTCATCGGCAGCAGCTGGTCGAGCTGCAGCGGGTACACTCCGGGCTTTGCGAACCTCCGCCGCTGGCGACGCGGGCTGGGAGGCCGCTGTGGCGCCCTTGCCGCTGTCGAGGCCGCTCGCAGACGCGCTGATTGAACGAGCGAAGGTGGAGTGGCGGCAGGCGCAAGCAGCCGCGCGTGCCCGGCGGCAGGCAGAGTGGCGCTGGTGGGTCGACGACTCGCTGAGGAACGGCCAGGGTCGCTTGTACCGCTGGATCCGCGGCTGCGGCAGCGTGGAGGCCGAGCTGGTGCCTGCTGGCCGGAGCGCGGCGGCCGCCCCTGCTGGCGCGGCCGTCGGCCCCCCTGGTAGCCGGCCATGGTTGTTGTCGCTGCAGGGCGGGCCCGCGGCGCGCCTGCGCTATTTCGAGGGTCCGTGGCGGGCCTTGTGGCAGCGGCCGCCGGCGCCAGTGGTGGACGAAGAGTGGCAGCAGGCGCTCGACGGGTTGCCGCCCTTCCCAAATCGCACGCCTTGGACTGCCGACCTCATCGCGGGGCTGCTCCGGCACATGCCGAAGCGCAAGAAGCCGGGCTTCGATGCATGGACGATTGGCGAGCTCCGGCTGCTGCCCACAGCTGCTGGACCGCGTCGCCAAGCTCTTCGAGGAAATCGAGGCTCAGGGCGCATGGCCGCGGGAGCTGGTGGAGCCCGAGGGGCTGTTGCTGCCGGAGCCTGGCGGCGGCGAGGGGCCCTTGGGGCGCCGGCCAATATGGCTGCTGCCAGTCCTTTATCGCCTCGGGCGGCAGGGCGGGCGCGCGCCTTCGCGCAATGGCGGTGCAGCTGGGAGGGCGACGAGTGGCGGCGCGGGGCGGAGGGGCCGGCATGGGAGCTAGCCCTGGAGCTCGAAGCAGCGGAGGCGCTCTCCCAAGACATCGCCGGTGCGGCCCTGGATTGGCGGAAGGCGTACGACCAGGTGGACTTGGACCAGGCGCCCCGCCTGCTGGCCAGGGCGGGGGTTCCACCTTGGATAACCCGCCCGGCCTTCGCTGCGTACACGGCCCGCCGCTGGGTCCGCGTCGGGAAGGTCATCGGGCAGCAGTGGGCGCCGACGCGGGGCTTGCTGCCCAGGTGCCCCTTGGCGGTGTTCATCCTGGCAGTCCTCACTCGGCCGTGGGTGCGCCGCACAGGCCGAATCAGCGACCAGCTCCGCAGGAGAGTCTACGTGGACGACTTCACATTGTGGGTCCGGGCGGCAGCGGACGAAGGCTGCGTCGCGGCCGAGGAGGTCCGGGATGCACTGCGGATCACCGAAGAGTTCGAGGCCGCAATGGGCTGGCAGCTGAATCGGCAGAAGAGCCGCCAGTTCGCCAACAGCGTGGCCCTGCGGCGGTGGCTCGGCCATCAGACGCCTGGCATAGAAGCGCGGCCTGACTTCCGCGACCTCGGCGTGGTGGCAGCCACGGGCAAGAGGCGGCGCTGCGCTGTCTCGGCGTCCCGCGTCCTCGGCGCCCAGGGCCGCTTCGCGAGGCTCGGGCGTCTTCCGCTCGGCTTCAAGCACCGCTGCGTGCTCGGCGCCGCGGCTGGCGCGGCGGCCGGCCTGTGCGGCGCCTCCTGCGGGCGGCCGCCCGCGCGGGAGCTGGCCGGGCTGCGCTCGGCGGCGCGGCGGGCTTCGGGCAGCCGCCGGAATTGTTTTCGGCGTCCTGGCTCCCAGCTTGTGGCTTGACCCGGCCGCGGTCGTCGTCATCGCGCCGCTGTGGCAAGTTGCGGAAGCCCTCCGCCGCGGCCGCTTGCCCGCGGAGCTGTGGGCAGAGGCCGACGGCGCCGTGGCCGCGGGGCACGGGCGAGGCAGCGGGCCCTTGGCGGCCGCGCGGAGGGGCCTGGGAGAGCTGCAGCTCGGCACCGACGTGACGCGATGGGCGGGCGCCCCGGCCTCGCCGGGCGGTTGGTGCCCCGCTGAAAGGGCGCTGCCGGATACGCGCGGGGTCTTGCTCAACGCCTGGGCTGGCAGGGGGGCCCGCTCTCTGGCAGCGAGACGCCCAGTGTGTCAACGCCTGCGCCCCGGCGTGGATCGCTGGGCCACCTGGCGGCTCCTCGGCGGCAAGGGCCTTCCACCCGACGCTGCCGGCGCGCTGCGGACCGTGATGAGCGGCAACGTGGTGACGGAGTCCGTCGCGGCGAAATGGGGTCGGCCGTCGGCGTGCACCCGCTGCGGCGCTGCCATCGAGGACCTCGAGCGCAGGTTCTGGGCCTGCCCCTGTTGGGAGCCGCAGCGCGTGGCGGCGGCGCAGCTGGTAGGCATCTCGCACGCGGCCGCCCGGGCGCGGCTGCCGGCGGCGGTGGCCCTCACCGGGGTACTGCCGTTGGACCCGTGGCTCGCCTCTTTGGCGGAGCAGGCGCGGCTCCCCCTGCCGCCGCCCGCCCTGCCTGTTCCTGCCGAGCAGTCGCACGTGGCGCGCGCGCGCGTGTGGGCCGACGGGGCCCGCGAGCATCCGTGCGACCCGCTGCTGGCCAGGGCGGGCTGGGGTGCCTGCGTGGAGGGGCCCCTGGAGATGCGCGGCCCAGTTGACGGCGCCCAGGCCGCGCAGCGGGCCGAGTTGACCGCTGCGGAGTGGGCCCTGAGCGCGGCGGCGGGCCCAGTGGAGGTCATCGCGGACTCGCGCTTCGTGGCCAACGGGGTCGCGGCGATCCACGGTGGCGCCGACCCTTGCGAGTGGGCGCGCGCCGACATCTGGGGCCGCCTCGCCGCGCACTGTCGCAGCGGCCAGCTCCGGGCTCACTGTGTCGAAAGACAATTGGGCGCGGCCGAGGCCAGGGGGCGAGGCGTCTCTGAGGAGGACCGGGCGGGCAACGAGGCGGCGGACCGGCTGGCCGGGGAGCAGCTGGCCGCTTGCCGCCTCCCGCGCAGGTCAGCGAGCGACTGCGGCAGCTGCGGGCGCTGGAGGCGGTTCAGCGCATGCTCGCCGCCAGCCGCGGTGGAGGCGAACCGCGGCAGCAGCGGCGATGGCGGGCCGCGAGTGCGACGCCGCTGGGCCCCCGCCGGGCCCCGCCGCCGCCGCCGCGAGCCCCGCGAAGGGGGCGACGCGGCCGTCGCGGCCGTCGCGGCCGTCGCGGCGTCGGCTGCTCCGCCGGCAGCACAGGGCGCGCCTGCCGATGCCCCCCGGCGCCCTGGTGCGGCGGCCGCAGCGCAGGCGTTGTTCGCCGGCGCGGCGTGGCGGGCGCACGCGGCCTCGCGGGGTCCAGCCTGGGTGGCCTGCGTGGTTTGCGGCTGCTGGGCGCAGGGCTGGGCGCGCCTCGCCAGCCGCCCGTGCGCGGGGTGGGCCCCGGCGCTGCCCCCGCGGGCCGCCGGGCTGCTGCTGCTGGGGGCCGCGCGCGCCGGCGGCAGCGAGGCCGATTGGCGCGCGGCGATTCGCCGCCGGCTGCAGGAGCGCCCTGGCCCGCCGGACTAATTAGAGAGAGTTAGTTCTCGCCCTCCCTGGAGGCTGCGGTTTCCCCCCCCGGTCTCCCCCTCCCCCTTCCTCCTCCCTCTCTGCTGTGTCCTCCTGTGCCACCGGGCTTCGCTGGACGGTAAAAAAGTGTCGTTGGCCTCCGGTTTGCAACAACAATGGCTCCCGCTTGATATTTCATCACAATTTAAAGAAAAATCGCGCTCTCGATTGGGACTCCTTGGCGATTTACCACCGAACCGCGCCTCCCGCCTGACACTTCCTGACAATGTATTGCAGAATCGCATTCTCGCTTGGGACTACCGAGCCGCTTCGCTGGATATTTGTTTACAATTCATTATCCAAATAGGCTTGCCCTATAGGAGGTCTACCTCATTCTAACTGATTGGTCCGTTGTCCCCCCAAATCCTATTCCCCCTCTAATTCCTATGCCTATGCCTGTGCCTATACCTATGCCTTCCCCTGGACTCCGACTCGTACGCCCATGCCTATGCCTATGCCTATGCACTATGCACCACCTCTGAACGTTCCTATGCTTGTGCCTATGCTTATGCCTATGCACCACCTCCTGAGCGCTCTTCCACGTCTTTGCATCATCGCCAGCACCATCGACGTCATTGTCATCACCATCACCACCCATTATTTATTTGGAGTCAACGCTGGCTGATATTCAGATGCCGGTCTTCGACACTCAGGAATCGTGCTCCCGCTACATATTGCCTGGCGGTCCAAACAGGACTCACGCTTCAACGACCCGCCCGCTCGACCCGCCCGTCGGGGCCTGCCAGCCCGACCAGCCCGTTAATGACTGCAGTCGCCGTTCGCTGCCGTTCGCCCGCCTTCGATGCCCCTCGCTGCCCGTACTGGTTCCGCGGTCGCCTTCGCTCGCTGCCCTTCGTGGCCCCCGTTGCTGCCCTCAGTGGTCCCGTGGCTGCTCTTTGTGGCCCCTCATTATATGCCCTTCGTGGCCCCCGCTCGCACGCTCCCATCGTGGCCCCATACGCATGCCCTTCGTAGCCCCGCTGGCGCCCTTCGTGGCCCCCTCGCTGCCGTTCGTGGTCCCTTCGCTGCTCTCAGTGGCCCCCCTGTCGCCCTTCGTGGCCCCGTATACGAATGCCCTTCGTGGCCCCCGCTCGCTCAGGCCCGTCGTGGCCCCATATGCATGCCCTTCGTGGCCCCGCCGTCGCCCTTTGTGGCCCCTTCGCTGCCCTTCGTGGCCCCGGTGCTGCCCTCAGCGGCCCCGTCGCTGCCTTGTGTGGCCTCGGATTTCATGCCCTTCGTGGCCCACTGTGGCTTTTCTCACGATTTATTTGGGAATCGCGCTATCGCTCGAGACTTCCTCGTGATTCGTACAGGACCCACGCTTCAGCAACCCGCCTGCTCGACCCCGTCGCCTGAGCCCGCCTTCCCGACCTGCCCGCTATGGGTCTGCCTTCCCGATCTGCCCGTTTGGTTGTACCACTTGTTTTCTGTTCCTTGCCCCCGTCCTGGTAATTTCTCTCGTGTTTCATTCTTCTCTCCCCCCCTTCCACCCGTCCTATCTTCCCTTGTTTTAGGGGCTGCACTAAACACACGTGGCAGGTGAGGAAGATCCACCCCCAACGGGGATCGATCGAAGACGACGAGGGCGGGTCCCGAGGGTGGGGCATATACATGTTGATTGGCACGTGAGCAGATCGGAGCGAACAGTCTTAAAATGATTGGTGTTGTTTTTGCTGCTGCTGCTGTTGTTGTTGTTGCTGCTGCTGTTGTTGTTGCTGCTGCTGCTGTTGTTGTGGTTGTTGTTGTTGTTGTTGTTGTTGTAATTGTTGTTGTCGTTGTTGATGTTGTTGTTGTTGTTGTTGTTGTTGTTGTTTTTGTTGTTGTTGCTGCTGCTGCTGTTGTTGTTGTTGCTATCGTTGTCGGGGTCGTGATCGTTGTCGTTGTTGTTGTTGTTGTTGTTGTTGTTGTTGTTGTTGTTTTTGTTGCTATCGTTGTCGTTGTCGTTGTCGTTGTCGTTGTCGTTGTCGTTGTTGTTGAACATTATTTCTTCTTAAGAATAATTATTGTTGGGACCCCTGGTGCACGACCCCCCCGCCGCGCCTAGGCCGCAGCCTCATTTTCATCATTTTCGTGAGGAAGTCTCAGGCAAAACGATTAGTACCGGATCCGGTTGTTTTGTTCCCCCCCGCTTTCCCTTGCAAAAAACACT